AAGAGCTTCAGAAGGAAGCTAAAGATTAGCATTTCTAAAAAAAGTTTACAATCCGTGAATGGACAGTTAAAGCTCCGTCTCTGTCAGGGGCGGTTGAGAAGGAACTGATGAGGGTTCGCCCACCCATGCTGGTTAGCCTCATGGCAGAACATGGGCTAGCAGATGTGTAGGCTGAACGGACACTGCTACCAAATTTCTCCCATCGGCAGTGCAAGGATGCAGACACACAGTGAAGCACCAATAAGGACACTATTTGAAGAAGAATCACTGTTTTTCATAATTACCTTCCCTTTTGTTGCCTTTTTCTGTACCATTTTATTCCCTATTCTCCTCCCCACACCCAACTTCACCATCAAGGCACCTTACTGTACCTCTCTCTAGGAAAACAAACAAGCAAGAAACTATCTTTGAAGTCAAGATGAAAGCTGACTGTATATTAGCTCTCACTCTACAAAAACAGCACTTGCACTGCTCAAAGGAATAAGAGAAAGTGCCCATCACCTCTGTGACACAACACCAAAACAGGCTTGAAACAGCTGCTGCAGGAGTTCTGTTAAGTCATCAGAAGCACACTCACCAAAGCAATGGCCCATTGAAAAGGAAGAAATAAAAATGAAGAACTAAAAAGTTAACTTACACAATTCAGTTTCTAAAGCACAAGGTACCTAGGTTTTATTGGTTGGATTACAAGTGAGCTGCTTTTTCACAAAAAGTAACTGAAGAAAGAAAATACAGCAAACGGGATAGATGTATACAGTGAAACAATAGTAAACATGGTCAACGGACACATTTAGGAGCTTAATTTTGTTTTTGTGGATACATATATTGATGGCTACCCGTCATACAATTAAAAGCTCAGTACTAGTAACTCCTCGCTTAACATTGTAGTTATGTTCCTGAAAAATGCTACTTTAAGCGAAACGATGTTAAGCGAATCCAATTTCCCCATAATGTAAATGGGGGGGGGGGGTTAGGTTCCAGGGAATTTTTTTCACCATACAAAAGACATTATATAAATATTTAAAACTTATAGTGCATAATTTTAAACAAACAATTTAATATTGTACTCACCAATGATGATTGTGAAGCTTAGTTGAGGCAGGGTCGGGTCGTAGGGGCTTGCCCCGCTCCGCCCAGCCCTCCTGCCAGAGTTGGGGCGTGGGGGTTTGCCCGGCTCCGCCTGCCCAGCACTCTTGCCGGAGAGCAGGGTTGGGACACAGGGGCTGAAGCAATGGGGCAAGCCCCCGCATCCTGACCCCGCTTCCCGGCAGGAGCCCCAGGCGGGTAGAGCAGGGCAAGCCAAACAACCTTATAATGGAACATTGCACGACTTTAAACAAGTATGTTCTCTAATAGATCAGCAACCTAATAATGAAACAATGTTAACCAGGACGACTTTAAGTGAGGAGTTACTGTATATCAAGGCTCAACATGCACAGTAATCCACTTCAGTCCGCACAAGGAACAAAATCAGGAAGTTCTTTCAGAGGCACAATGAAAAACATGCATAAAATGTAACTTGAAGACAGGCTGGAAAAAAACACTCATTCATGTTGAAGAGGAATCTTTCTTGAGTGAATGCTGTCAACTTTTTTAAAAATTACACTTTCTTTTTAAAAAAAGGTTTTCACATTTCTAGCACTCATGATTATAAAAACAAACTTCCAAATGCAAAATAAGATTGAACCAGCGCAGTGCTGTCTGCCTAACTCACAGGAGAGCACTCATAGGAACCTAGAAAATACTACACTCAGTCACACATATGGTATATCTAGTACAGAGATGGGCAAACTACGGCCCGCGGGCCACATTCAGCCCGCAGGACTGTCCTGCCCAGCCCCTGAGCTCTCGGCCGGGGAGGCTAGTCCCCGGCCCCCCCCTGCTTTCTCCCCTCCCCTGCAGCCTCACCTTGCTGCGCCGCCAGTGCTCTGGCCCGCTGCTTCTGCCAAGCAGCGCAGCAGCGTGCCTGGCTCCAGCATGGTAAGGGGGCATGGAGCAGGGGGTCCTGGGGGGCAGTCAGGGGACAGGGAGCAGGGGGCAGTTGGATGGGGCGGAGGTTCTTGGGGTGGTGGTGGTCAGGGGATGGGGAACATGAGGGGTTGGGTAGGCGTGGGAGTCCTGGGGGGCCTGTCAGGGGGCGGGGGTGTGGATAGGGGGTAGGGCAGTCAGGGGACAAGGAGCAGGGGAGTTGGATAGGGGGTGGGGTTCTAGGGGGCCTGTCAGGGGGAAGGGGTGTGGACAAGGAGCGGGGGGGTTGGATGGGGGTGGTGTCCCGGGGGGAGGGCGGTTAGGGGCGGGGGGTCCTGAGAGGGAGCGGTCAGGGGACAAGGAGCAGGGGCGGTTGGATGGGTCGGGGGTTCTGACGGGGGCAGTCAGGGGGCAGGACGTGGGAGAGGGCGGATAGGGGGCGGGGGCCAGGCTTTTTGGGGAGGCACAGCTTTCCCTACCCAGCCCTCCGTACAGTTTTGAAACCCCAATGTGGCCCTTGAGCCAAAAAGTTTGCCCACCCCTGATCTAGTACAATATCCTGCTTCTGACAGTGGCCAGCAGCAGATGCTTCAGAAAACAGTACAAGAAATCCTGCACTAAGCAGATGTGTGATAATCTGCCCCAGTGAAAGTCTAATCTTAACTCTTAATAGTTAGAGATTGGCTTTAACCCTGAAGCATGAGGTTTTATATTCCTTCCAAATCTTTTTAGCAATTACTATTATAAATGTGGATTCTTGTTACCAATAAAAATGTCTAATCCCTCTTTGAATCTTGTTGAACTCTTGGCCTCAATAATATCCTGTGGATCAGAAAAAGAGCTAAGTAGACAGCCACAAGGTAATAAAGATCAGACTGTTCAGAGATATGGGGAGACAAGAAATGAATGTTTTGGGGGGTGGGAGGCAAGCACATACAGATACAAGAATCTCATTATTATTAAGGTAAGCCATTTCATAAGGTTACTTTTTTCTGTTGGGATAATTTGTTTTTATAGGAATTTTTCAAGGCTTGTTAAACAGATTTCATTATAGCTGGTACCAAGAAAGTGATGGTAACTCTCAAGCTGTATTGCATAGGTGCTTAAGATGTATAGTTATGAATAAAGCTCTGTGTTTGTCATGGAGGTCACGGATTCCATGACTTTCGATGACCTCCATGACTTCTGCAGCAGCCCGGTGTGGCTGGCCCAGGAGCTGCCTGAGCAGTTCAGGCAGTCCTGGGCCAGTCGCCCTGGCTGCTGCTAGGGTAGTCTAGGGCTCCACCGCTCCCCAGCAGCAGGAGTTTGGGTCGGGGGGGCCCTCGGGGCTGGGGATTGGAGTGCGGGGCAGTGCTTACCTGGGGGGAGTTCCCCGGAAGGGCAACAGGAACTCCCCTCCCTCAGCTCCTAGCTCCACGTGCTGCCTCTGCCCACAGGCACCGCCCCCACAGCTCCCATTGGCAGCATGTGGAGCTAAGAGCTAGAGGTCGCCACTTCCCAGGAGCCAGGTAGGAAACTTGCCCCAGCCCTGCCAACCCCCATCCCAGCACCCGCAGTGCCCTCCCCGGGCCGCACCCTCCCCCCCTCCCCGAGCACCCACGGTGTCCCCAGGGCTGCCCCTCCCCAAGTCACCCCCCACCCCAAGTTTTAGTCAGGGGTTTATAGTAAAAGTCACGGAAAGGTCATGGGCCGTGAATTTTTGTTTAATGCCCGTGACCTGTCCATGACTTTTACTAAAAATACCTGTGACTAAAAAGTAGCCTTAGTTATGAACTACCAGTCTCGCTGCAGATAAATTTATAAAAGGACTTCAGTACAAACCAAGTCCCAGATAGTACGTAGTGAGGATTAACATCTCATAATTATATGTTTCTTTCTGAAGTTTAAGGGATTTTTTTTTAAAAGGCTCATCCATCCAAAAGTGATCTAGAGCCAAAGTTTTAGACCCCTGAAACAAGAGAACTGAACTGCAGTTACATTAAACTGTTCATGAACTGTTTTAGTTATGGATCAATAGTATGTTAAATAGCTGATATATGTTTAAAATCTGCACACTTGTGGACGAGAGAGCGATGCACAAATTTACAACAGGGCAGGGGAAGATTTCTTCCCAGCTGAACATAAGCTAAGCTAAGTTTGCTGTGGAAAAAGGAAGTGGTGGAAGTTTCTCACTACCTAACTTTTCCTTGATTAAACCTGTATCCTTCCTCCAATGTTATACAACTTACATAACTTAATACAATTTAATATTCCAATTTGGAAACTGAATATTCCCAATAGGTGTTGAAAAACAAGTATTTAAGACAAATTTGCCAAGTAGAAAAAGGTGATGAGCAACATATTTGTGAGGTCCAACATGCTTTAAAATAATTATGACTCCATTTCATAGTGAACACTAACGTACATCTTGATTCAAACCTAATTCTTCCTATGCTTACTGTAGCAGTGGAAACACATTTCTACTAAGCTGCCGTGCCAACATAAACAATGAGGAAAGATACTGGAAACATTCCTAAAATGTAAACCTCATTTTCCCTACAATGTTCATCCTTAAACTAGTCTGTGAAATAATCCTTTTACTTTAAAACCTCAAGTTTAAATACCTCTAATTTTTCAACAAAAAATAACTATTTGAAATAACTATCTTCAGTTGTTTGGTAATGTAACTATGTCCCAGGGGAAGGAAACATACATTTGATTAACTCATACTTTCTCTTTGTATTTGCTGAGGATTATATCTTTCATTCACGTAAACAAAGAGCCACCTTTTATTTGCATTGGCCAACATTTTCAAGATTGGGTGTTTAAAGTTAGGCCATTTGCAATGGTAAATGAAGTTGTTCAAGACACATTTCACAACAAATAAAAATAACATTCATACTTTAATATGGTTGTTGGACACATAAATGGAGAGGATTAACAAATATTTCACTTGAGGAAAGTAAGTAATTAAAAACATTATTACTTATAAAAATACACATTTCTTTATGACAGAGCAGGAAGGCTCTGCCTCTAACCTGTTTTGTACTCACCATTCTTTCGTTCAGTGAGGGGAGGTAAATACTGACTAGGCTGCAATGAGAGTTCCTGAAATTCATGAGCAACTGCTTCACTATGAGGACTAGGAGCAAGATTTGTTAATGATCCTGAATCATCCTCAGTGTCTGCTGTCCCTAAGTGGTCCATTGTGTCCAGGCAACTGGCCTCTTAATTACAGCACGTTGATGAATCTGGTAAGAAAAAAAGGGAAAAATATAAAGACATCATGCAATTATATGCAAATGCAGTAGTCAGAACAATTATTTAATGCTTAAGATGCTATGAGGCTTCAAATATTTTATCACAAAAGACAAATCTGAAGATCTCCATCATAAAACCTTCTGATACCAAATAAATAAAAACAATGGTGAAGAGTTCCTTAATACAAAGCTCTAAGACAATGGTTCTCAATTCATGGTCCCAGGACTAGTGATTGTCTGTGGAACACTTGCTGGTGGCCTGTGAAAGTGATAGGTGACATGGTGATGGTCTGCCTCCTGATTTCAGTTGCTAAATTTAAAAAAGCTAAAATATATATCAAATACTTTCCTAACATTACTTTTCCACATGAACAATTTCTGTAGTTGCTACAGGAATGTTTCGCAATTGAAAAGAAGTCCACGCAACACTCCATATTGAAGTCATGGTCCATACTTTGAAAGAGGTTGAGAATCCCTAGTCTAAGATATCGCTTCTTACATACCCCACAGATTTTGTAGCTATAAAGATTTACCACATTGTCAATTATGCTTTGACTTTTATAAAGGAGACATTCAAAGGATTTTTTAAAAAGTCGTTTAAAGTTTAAAAGTCCCCCCCACTTTTTTCTTTTTTTTTTTTGCTGCTTTATGATGTATAAAATGCAGAATTTGTTTTCCTGCTTCTTATTTGACTTGGACCATGTCTGCATTACAAACTTTGGTCAACACAAATTACATCAGCGTAAGCCACCAAAGTTTGTAAATTGCTCAGGTGCATGCACACTTGTGTCAGCGCTGCCCATACTCACCAGGAGTGCTTGTGTCAATGCAAAGTGCAGTACACCAGAGTCGGTATCCCAGTGCGCCATCATCTGGCACAACGCCTTTTGGGAAATTTTCAGTGTGTTGAGGGATAGAAATGACTTGCCATGGGATCTCTGGGAGCTAGGAGTCAGCTTCTCAGCATGCAATATTCTCCATCTTATAATGCCATTCATATCCCATAATTTTTGTGCCTTTTAAAAAAAAAATCCCACAAACCCCAACAGCACTTTTTGGTGTCTGCCATTTCTGAAAGAAGCATGCAGCCTGCAGAGCTCTGCACTATTCTCATGAACTTTGCAAATACAGGATGCACAATTTTCCTATATTTGCAGATGTACAAGTACTATAACGATGGGGGACATGATGATTTCTTCAAGGACTGTTTTCTAAGGTACATAGGGAAAAATAATTCAAGGTTGTTGTTGGCATGTATGGAGCAGCTATAGTCCGTGCAGCATCACTTCTGGGCCAAAGAACCTAGCACTGACTGGTGAGATTACATCGTAATGCAGGTTTAAGACAACAAGCAGTGGCTGGAGAACTTTCAGATGAAAAAGGCCACATTACTGGATCTGTGTGCTGAGCGCATGCCAGCTCCCTAGCACAGGGACACCAGAATGAGAGCTGCATTAACAGTGGAGAAATGAGTGCCGAGATCATTTTGGAGTTGGAAAATCAACAGTGGCTGCCGTTATCATGCAAACTTGTAGGGCCATTAATCATCTCCTGCTATGCAGGATTGTCATTCTCAGCAATATCCTGGACATAGTGGATGGATTTGCAGCAACGGGGTTCCCAAAGTGGGGCTGGGCAATGGACGGCATGCATATCCCTATTTTGACACCAGTACACCTTGCTACAGAGTACATCAACAGAAAGGGCTACTTTTCTATGGCTATGCAAACGTTGGTGGATCACTGGGGACGTTTCACTGATATCAGTGTCAGCTGGTCAGGAAAGTGCCTGATGCTCACTTTAAGAACGCAGGACTGTTCAGCAATCTGCAAGCAGGAACATTCTTTCCCGATCGCTAATTACCATGGGTGATATTGAAATGCCAATAGTGATTCTGGTGACCCAGCCCTTGCTCCCGGGGCTCATGAAGCCATGCAGTGGCCACCTTGGCAATACCAAGGAAAAATTCAACTACCGGAACAGCAGGTGCAGAATGACTGTTGAATGGGCTTTTGGCAGACTGAAGGGAGAAGGGAGACTGTGGTGTTTACTCACTAGACTGGATCTTGGTGAAAAAAATATCCCCATAGTTATAGCTGCCTGTTGTGTCCTGAATAATAGCTGTGAGGCAAAAGGGAAAAACTGCCAGTCAACCAAAGTAGCGTTCTGTGCAGGACTGTTCTCTGGGCCTGGAGATTTGGGTGCTGATTGGAACAGTGTACGGCTTGCTGTACATTTATAAATATGACTGAGTATTTTCCCAAACCTAAGAATTATGTGATGCTTGCTGTACATTTACAAGTACTGTTTGCTTTGAGTACTGCTATGCATTCTGCAATATTTATTGTGAACTAATAACAATAATTTGATTCTCCAAAAATAGAACTTTACAGAGTGGGAAAAACAATGTAGAAAACAATGTGCAAAAAATACAGGCAATGTAATACACATTTTTAACATAAATTAACAGAGTGGAACTTTAAAATTGGAAAGGGAGTAAATATTTTGGTCCATTTGTGTGCACAAATGTAGTCCATCGTGGCTACCCATGCATCAGCTGTGGTCCTCACAGGTCAGTGTATGAGAATATGTGGTTTTCCCTGCTGTCCCTTGCCATGGAGTGATAGGGATAAGGATGTGGCCTGTAATGCCACATTGTACGTTGGGGTGTGTAGGGAACAGCAACCATGGAGTTTTCCAAAGACTGCAAAGGTGGGGAGTCTGGGATTTTTGGACCTATAGGTCAACCAGGGTCTGCAGCATTTGGGTTTGCTGCCTGAGAAGACCCATTATGTCCTGGTGCATCTCCCTCTCCTTTCTCCTGTCCTCACTTTACTTCTCCATTCTGTTGGTCATACTGGCCATCCAAGCCCTCTGCTCATGGTCCAGTGTATCACTGGCTTGCAGGATCCCAGAGAACACATCCTCCCTAGTCCTCTTCCAACTCCTCCTCATCAGGTCAGGCATTCTGTGGGTGTAGAAGGTGGGCACCTCTCAAGGCTGCCATGCCAGACGCTGCTGATAAAAACAGACAGACGTGCAATTGGATTTACAGTCATCACGGAAAGGGGAAAATAAGTTTCAAAACTTCCTTCCCTTATTCCCATAAACACTTTTAATAAGAAATGCTTATTGACACTACAGCTTTGGAGTACCATGCCATAGTGAGTATGGCCTGCCGGGGCAATGGAGGAAAGGCTGTTCTGTTGCATGAAGCTATAACATTTCAGCCATTATTCCATGGGTATGAGTATAGGGCAATGGCATTGAATACTGGCACTATTTTCTACAGGTGATGGTGGTTTTAGCTGATACCTTACTCCTGAGGGTCACAAAGACACAGAGAACACAGCTGCTACTGGCATCACTAAGCCACCCAGGCTCATATACTGCTCATATACTCTTTACTGCAACGGTTCCAGTTGAACTCATTGCAGAGTGGTGTAAAAAGGGTCCTACCGTGGAGGAAGAAATAAGGCAGCCATACACAGAAACTTTTGGGAGAGGATTGCAGAGTATCTCCATGAAAGCTTCACCAAGATGTTTCAGAAGAACAAAATGGACATCTCTAGGTACATAAACCAAGTGTTCCGCATGCCCCCCCAACCCAACAGGAGAATGAAAAGCAGATGTCAACTCTATCTCTGTTTGTTCTACATCTATCTCTTCTTGTATGAGTAAAACAATGAAAAGTTGATAACTCTGTTTTGTTAACTTGGGGGTGGGCTGGGCACAATCTTTAAAAATGCATGCACACACTTACCTGAGTTTCCTTCCCCTCCATCAGGCTCAGCCACGCTTGCATAGTGGAAATGGCTAGGTGGGGAGTCTCAAATGGGTCCTGCCTCGTTGGATGGCTGGAACCCCCTCCTTTTTCCTCACAGTTCACAGCCAGGGTCTCTGTCTCCTCAGAGATATCCACAGTGGTATGCAGGGTGCTGGTGTGGTCTCCGTCAAGTATGGCATACAGCTCATTGTAAAAGTGGCAGGTCTGCAGCTCAGCACCAGATCTATTGTTAGCTCCCTGGCCTTGTGGTATGCCTGGCAAAGTTCCTTCATTTCACAAGGCACCTGCTGCTGATCCCAGGCATACCCCTTTGCCTGCATCCCCTGTGCAATCGAGTCATAGATCTCCACATTTCTATGGCTGGTCCATAGTGGTGCTTGCACAGCCTCTCTTCCTCACAGAACCAGGAGACCTAATGCCTCCTGCCTACTCCATGTAGGAACACGTCTAGTGTGTGGAGTTGGCATGGTTGGCTGAGCAGTTGCAGACAAGGGAGAGCTCCTAGGTGTGCTCACTAAGGTGGGCAACCGAGGACAAGGAATTTCAAAAACACACCGGGTTTTAAAGGTGGTGTGCGTGGCTTCTGGTCTCTGTGACCCCCAAGCAGTGGAGTTGCCACCTGTGACCAGAGCTGTCACTGTCATACAGAATGGGGCATTGTGGGACAGCTGGAGGACTGTTGGGGTCAACACAGGTCACAGAGCATCTACTCTCACTGTGTCAACCTCAGTAGGTCAACCATGGCTCTATATTGTTCAAGGAGGTGGTTTTACTGCATCACCGTAACAAGGCACTTACATCAGCTGGAAACAAATTTAAGTGTAGACTCATGCACAAATATGTCATTGCAAGGCAACTTACATCGGTCTAACTTTTTAGTGTAGACAAAGCTTTAGAAACTATAAGCATGTCCACTCTGATTCTTCCCTGGATTTGCTGGAGGAATTCTTGGAGGGTGGGGAGCTGGGTGACTGGGGGGGGGGGGGGGGGGGGGGGGGGGGGGGGGGGCTCAGATGTTTACTGTGAGCTCTTACTTTATTTATCTTTATTGAAGGAGTAGCACAATGAAACTTTTATCAAGACAATCTTTCAGCCAAGTGCTCATTACACAGTGGAGTTAAGTGGCATTAACAAAAAAAAAGTTTTAAATAGGCTGACTAAAAACCCCTTTCTCTCTCAATTGCTCAGCTTTTAGTTTCTTGCT